TCAGGATTAAAGGAGGGTCCATCAGCAAGAAGGGAAGGTAAAGAGAGAGTAGTAGAACGAAGACGACGTTGGAGGTAAATTCTGCGTGCTCGTTGATAGAGAAGGCAGTCTAACAGAATGTGGCTAATCGATACTGGAACTTGACACTGCTCACAGAGAGGAACAGGGTGCCTCTCCATGAGATACCCGTGAGTAAGACGAGTGTGGCCAATGCGAAGGGGAGAGAGTGGTCTCCCAACCACGGCACTGATGACAAGAGATGGCCAATAACCTATGCTCGGTTTAATAGAATGAAGTTTGTTACCAAGCAGAGTTGACCAACGTTGTTGCCAACAGGTGTGAAGGTGGGTAGCTATTGCAGCAAAATAGTCCAGAAATGGAACACCTCTATAGGAAATTGGTAGGTCATGTACTGCTGACCGCGCAGCAGTGTCTGGCCTGTTCATTGCCCTGTACGTCGACATGACCAGGGACCCAACAAAAAATAATATCTTTATGCTTGGCAGAGATAGGCGTAGCCAAAGTTGGATACGGAGAACTAGGGATGAGATGTATCAAATTTTCGTATAGCCTGTAGAGCACTAAGGGAGTCTGAGACTACTACAAATGATGACACAGGCATGATGCGATACGAATAAGTGCTGCAAGAATGGCATACAGTTCAGCAGTAAAAATGCTAGCTGAAGATAGTAAATGCCCCCAAAACGACGCTGCCCGGGAAAAACACTGCTGCGAATCCGACGCCGTCTGAAGACTTAGAGCCATCTGTGTACACAGCGGTGGCATGAGAATGGGAGTGGAAGTGATCAAGAAAAAGAGAGCGGGAAGCCACCGTAGGCAGTTGAGCTTTCGAGCAAGGGAGTGAGAAAGAACAGACCCGAACACTGGAACTTCCCAGGGGGGGTAGGGAAAAGTGAGATGCTACATGAAACATATAAAGGTGGTAACTGAAGGGAAGACAAGAGTGAATGTAGGCGAAGAGAAAAGGGACGGAGCAAACAGGGGCAGCGAACGAATAAAGAATGTCTACTAATATCGGTGACCATTCTATAAATGGAAGGATTGTGTAGATCGTGAGAGCGTACATAGTAGCGAAGGCAATGGGCATCACGGCGATCAGACAAGGATGGAACATTCACTTCTGTATAGAGGCTCTCAACAGGGGAAGAGCGAAAAGCACCAAGGCACAAACGTAATCCTTGGTGATGGATACAGTTAAGGCTAGAGAGAGTAGCAGGAGAGGCCGCGGAATAAATCTGGTCACCATAATCGAGTTTCGATAAAACGAGGGCTGAATGTAGGCGAAGCAGAGTTCGACGATCAGCTCCCCAGGAAAGACGAGCAAGGGTTTTAAGAAGGTTTAGCCGGCTGTGACAAGTTGCCTTCAGAGAGGTTATGTGAGGTTTCCAGGATAACCGACGGTCAAAGAGAAGGCCTAGAAACCTGACTGTATCACGTTCGGGGATACGGGAGCCATAGAGATACAAAGGATGATCGGAGATAACAGAGCGTCTAGTGAAAGTAATTTGGTGAGTTTTGGTACTTGAAAATTTAAAACCCATGCGTGGTGGCCCAAGTGGAAACACGGTCGACCGCATGCTGGAGAGAAACTGCAATAGATGACAGTCAGTGCCTGCACAAGCAATAGCGAAGTCATCAACATAGTGATGACCAAATATTGGGTGGAAGAACGAGGCCAAATCATTTATAGCAAGGAGAAAAAGTGTTGTGCTTAGAACACATCCCTGAGGGACACCTTCAGCTTGGATGAAGTCCGGGGAAAGAACATTATTGACTCGAACACGGAAATGTCTGTCAGTTAAAAAGTTCTTAAGGAAGGATGGTAGATTGCATCGGAGGCCTAAGGAATGGGCCTGGGCCAAAATATTATACCTCCAAGTTGTGTCATATGCCTTCTCAAGGTCAAAAAATATGGCAATAACCGAGTGATTATTCGCAAAGGCATTACGAACATACGTATCCAAGCGTAGTAAGGGGTCTATGGTAGAACGACCCCTACGAAAGCCATATTGACTAGCGGAGAAAAGACTGGGCAGGCGATGCAAAATGCCTCCAATTAAAAGTAGGGTGCCATTGGTACCTAAAGGGAAAACACCGTAAGTGTCCGGGGCCCAAGACTGTTCTACAGCCTCCCATCAAGCATTAGGGGAATTGCCAAAAAAACCCTGGCTGCCTTCAAGAGAGAGCTGGACAGATACCTAAGTCAGTGCCGGATCAGCCGGGCTGTGGCTCTTATGTTGGACTGCGTGCGGCCAACAGTAACAGCCTAGTTGATCAGGCCCTGATCCATCGGGAGGCCTGGTCATGGACCGGGCCGTGGGGGTGCTGATCCCCAGAATAACCTCCAGGTGTCCTCAGTCTTCGCCATGAGACAGTGCTTAAATATATGAGATCTCGATTATCATAATCAAGATGTTGTAATTTAGTTTACTGTATTTACAAAACACTGTTAACTGGCAATTCAGCAATTCAAATATATTCCCACTTAAAGCACATTCTTGTTTCTAGCACTGAACTCACTGTCAGCAGTGCTACTGCCGTGCTCATTCAGTCACGTTACACAAATCACAAGTAAAACCATCCCTTTGTTTTTTCTTTACACTCCACAATCTAGGTAGTAGGTTGGTAGACAGCAACCACCCAGGGAGGTACAACTGTCCTGCCAAGCGAGTTTAAAACACACACCTGTAATTGTTTTACATGATGGTAGGACTGCTAGTGTCGTCTTTTTTGTCTCAAACATGCAAGATTTCGGGTACGTCTTGCTGCTACTCCTTACACTTAGGATATGCCACACATGCATGTACAAGCACATACGTATATACACACCTCTCTGGGTTGTCTTCTATTTTCTATTTCTTGTTCTTGTTTATTTCCTCTTATCTTCATGGGAATGTGGAACAGAATTTTCCTTCCAAAGCCATGCGCATTGTAAGAGGTGACTAAAATGCCGGGAGCAAGGGGCTAGTAACCCCTTCTCCTGTATACAATAATAATTTAAAAAAGAGAAGCTTTTGTTTTTCTTTTGACGTCACCCTGCCTCGGCAGGATATGGCTAGTTAAAAAAAAAATCCAGTGTATCCATTATTAGTTCCATGTCATCAGCAGTGTCAGTAAATTTAAGAGAAAAGAGGAAGTATCCCTATTATTGTTAAAAGATATGCTGGGTTCTCTGGCACAATAACCCTGTGCTAAGAAAAATGTCCCCCTCCCAGAATTAAAGGTGTCTACCTCTGGATACAAACCACTCCATCCCCATCCCCACCTCCACATTCAGGTGATATACCATTTGGGAACAATCAAGTGTGCTAATCCAACATGTTTTTTCAACACATGTGGAATGAGAAGCAATCAGGTTTATAAAGGGAGGATATGTTCACTTCCCTGGATCAAGAGCCCTTCTTGAGGGGTAAGGGAGCTCAAATCAACACTTCAACAATGCTGGTGCTTTGGCCACCCAGCAAGATATTGCTAATTGTAGCCAGATGTCCAGTCTGTGGAGAAACAATCATAATTCATCCTAGTTTAGATTAGGCAAGGTTCGTCAGAAAACAGAATAAGTGTTTCTTGATGTGGGTTTTAGTCATATGATGACTCACTGCTGAACTTTTGATCATGCGACCAAGGCCTTCCACTGCTTATCGGTCCACCCCTTAAAAAAATTAAGGCCATAATTATAACATTATATATCTAATTAGTCCATCCTGTAACAGTGATGCAGCTCAAGCCTCAAAGGAAAAATCCCACAAATATCCCACTCCAGAGCTCAACATCCTAAATGCTAGCACAAACCTTTTAATCACCCCAATATTCAACCCTTATGAAGTCTTTACCTCCGACTTTTCAACCTTTTTTTTAAAATTCATATTCTCCATGCAGTCTCCTTCAGCTCTTCTTTTAACACTTCCACCAGATACTCAAAGAAAAACAAACGAAGGCATCAAAATACCTTACCAACCTACTGTCCCTTCATGTTTTCCTCCAAGACTACCTCAACAAGTCTTGCATCTAAGACAGTTGCAGAAATACAATCACTAAAATTCACTACTACATTTGTATCCACGCAGACCCCTTCATTTCAAGAAACAGCTAAACTCTTCCTATATTGGCAGCTGCTAATGCCTCTTCCCTCTCCATTTTCCTCTTTGGTCATAATACCTGCCACCACCGTTGACTACAGAAACCGAAGTCATATCATTTACCAAAGACACACCTCAACTTAAACAAGGAAGGACTGGCTTTTAAACCCAAACATGTACCAAACGATACTAGCTCTGACAATACACCACCTCATAAACATGATGTACCTTCCCTGCATCATCTAGTTATACAATTCCCTTATTAATAATTGACATGTCACTACACAACTTTAACAACCATCCTAGCCCATATCTGATACCCAATATTGCTGTATTGTTGGTCACCAATAATGGTGACATTACAACACAACATTAAACTATTATTCTAACAGAACATTAAACTATTATTCGTCATGGGGAGGCTAATCCCACTGGGGTAAAGACAAGCCTTTTAAAATTTCATATGGCTGAACCCACTTACCAACAGTTATCTAATTTACACTTTTATGCCTGGCGTAAAGGACTTCAACCCAGTATTATTTTTAGACCAAATCATAAGTTCAGTTAAGAGGAAAGGAAAAATCAATTCTTGGGAGACTGAGCCACTCACCACCATCAAGGAATATCCTTTTTGTCTCATTCTTATCTAGGTCATTAAGGAGTCAGGTGTATTCATGGTGAATAAAATGTAAAAAAAAGTAGCTTTATATACTTTATATAAAGCTTACTGAAATCACTTCCTTATGAACAATGATGTAAGAAACTTGGTTAGTTTCCTAATTTTTATATTGAGAATGATGCACTAAACCCATAGGGGTCATGTAGTGCCTGCACATTAGCTAGTAGCTGCTGAAATTAAGCTTTTTTTCATTACCTTTTGAAACTAGAAAAGCATACTAGTTTGTTAACCGAACCAGTATTTTAATAAAGCAGCCAAAGATAAAACAAATTTACATGAGCTTGTGAAAAATTACTTTAGGAGTTCAAAAGTACATAGTTTACAATTGTGACTATTCATCATCATCAGGATCTTGAGCTCCCATTCCTCTGGGCTTTGGTCCACCAGCTCTCTTGGCCATAATAATCTGATCTACACGAAGAATTTGGTTAGCTGCTGAGGTTGCATACTTCAGAGCCCAATATTTAGTGAGGTAGAGATCATAAATTTCCTTCTCTGTTGCATCAATGACAAACGATCCATCTCCCTCACAGTCAAAACCAAAATTGGTTTTACCTTCAGTGTGGGCAGCAAGCAAGTTGGACAGGGTTTCTTGATCTAATGCACCACAATTATCAGCAAGAACCTGTGGGGAAGGAAAGAAAAATTATTATAAATACTTTCAAAAAAGTATTACAAAACTTCTATAATAATTGCCAACAGAAATAATTTTTAGGATGCAAATTTTTAATTGCAGTACTCATATACCATATTACACTGCAGAGAAGTGATATGGGGAAAACAAATGGTACCTGCTCTTTGAAAACTTTTCTTGTAGGAGGCTACAAAATTGAACCTGTTCAACAACAATAATATTAATACTCCTAGGTAGCAGGTTGGTAGACAGCAACCACCCACGGAGGTATTACCATCCTGCCAAGCCTGTAATTGTTTTACATGATGGTAGGATGGCTGGTGTCATTTTTGTCTTGTAAACATGAAAGATTTCAGGTACGTCTTGCTACTTTTACTTACACTTAGGTCACACAACACATACATGTACATGTTTATGTATACATATTTATCTGAGTTTTCTTTGATATTAGCTTAATAGTTCTTGTTCTTATTGCTTTTCCTTTTATATCCAAGGGGAAGTAGAATAAGAATCTTTCCTACGTAAGCCATGCGTGTCGTAAGTCAATTAAAATGCCGGGAACAATGGGCTCAAGTCCGGCTATATAAAAATAACCAGTTTCCCTATATGGCTTCACTAAATATTACCTTGCTCACACTCCAACAAAAACATTTGTCTCCATTCACTCCTATCTAACACGCTCACGCACTCTTGCTGGAAGTCCAAGCCCTCACCCACAAAACCTCCTTTACCCCCTCCCTCCAACCTTTTCGAGGACGACCCCTACCCCGCCTTCTTTTCCCTACGGATTTATACGCTCTCCATGTCATTCTATTTTGAATCATTCTCCCTAAATGACCAAACCACCTCAACAACCCCCTCTTCAGCCCTCTGACTAATACTTTTATTAACTCTCACACCTCCTAATTTCTACACTTCGAATTCTCTGCATAATATTTACACCACACACTGCCTACAACCACCTCCTCGCTGCAGCATTTCAACCCAGCTTCACACCCATATAAGTGTGTTGGTACCACATACATTCATACATTCCCTTCTTTGCCTCCATTGATAGTTTTTTGTCTCCACATATACCTCAACACACCACTCACCTTTTTTCCCTCATCAATTCTATGGTTAACCTCATCCTTCATAAACTCGTCCACTGACACGTCAACTCCCAAATATCTGAAAACCTTCACATCTTCCATACTCCTCTCCAATGTGATATCCAATTTTTCTATATCTAAATCATTTGATACCCTCATCACCTTACTCTTACCTATGTTCACTTTCAACTTTCTACCTTTACACACCCTCCCAAACTCGTCCACTAACCTTCGCAACTTTTCTTTAGAATCGCCCATAAGAACAGTATCATCAGCAAAAAGTAACTGTCAATTCCCATTTTGTATTTGACTCCCTATAATTTAATCCCACCCCTCTCCCCAACACCCTAGCATTTACTTCTTTTACAACCCCATCTATAATTATATTAAACAACCATGGTGACATTACACATCCCTGTTATTTTATATAACCGGACTTGAGTCTTGGAAATGGGAAGTACAATGCCTGCACTCTCAAGGAGGGGTTTGAGATATTGGCAGTTTGGAGGGATATATTGTGTATTTTTATACGTATATACTAAACTGTTGTATTCTGGGCACCTCTGCAAAAACAGTGATTATGTGTGAGTGAGGTGAAAGTGTTGAATGATGATGAAAGTATTTTCTTTTCGGGATTTTCTTTCTTTTTGGGTCACCCTGCCTCGGTGAGAGGCGGCAGACTTGGAAAAAAAAAAAATCTACAAGCAGTGTATAGCACTTTGCTTGGAATTTTTGGGTTATCCTAGGTAATTTACACTATACATGTATATACTTATGTGTACATGTGAAAGAGAGAGACAGAGACAGACAGAGATGAAGACAGAGAGAGAGAGCCCAGGTTGGTCGGTCAGTTCGTCGGTCAGTCAGCCGACTAGTTAGTTGGTCGGTCAGCCGGCTGGCCGGCCAGCCAACCTGCCGATTACATATTACACATGTTCCAGAATTGTTTCTCTTTACATAGGGCATAGGTTATGGGACATTCTGGCAGGAGGACACTACCAGTGGTATAAAAAATGAAAGGATGTTGCACAAATGTTACACATGGATTATTATCGAGGTTTTTGCTATTTCCACGAACACTTGTGGCCACATCCATCATTTTCCTCTTAAAAGGGGAGTGTTAATACGACATGACATCATTGAATCCCTGGTGTTTGCCAAGCTATTTGCTCTAGCTGGTGCTCAATTGAACTTGTGCTCCACAAAGTACTAAGTGGTCACAGATTTTTTTTAATACTGCACACACAAAGTGTTAAGACCCATTTTATACTGACCAGGCATCTCAGGCCAATTATGCAAAATTTGGAGGCAAGAAAAATAAAACGTAGATCTACGTTTGGAGTGCTAGCGGTACAAATGTAGATCTATGTTTGGACAGTTTAATCCTTAAACTGTCCAAATGTAGATCTACACTGACATGCATAGCACTCTGACCTTTGTTTTCTCTATTTGAAAGCATGTAAAATTGGACGTAGATCTATGTTCGGAGCACTATGCACGTCAACGTAGATCTACATTTGGACAGTTTAAGGGTTAAGGGCTAAATGATCCATTACTTGATGGGTAGTGACAGCATTATTAGTCAGAGAAGCATATGCAGCATTCACATTTTAAAAACAACTCAACGTTGACACAAATAATAAAATGCTCACCTTTGGGAAAATAAGGAGGGCTTCAGCAAATTTTTTTATAGCATACTGCTCAAGTCCAGGACACTGTAATCCATAAAGTTCTATGAGACGACTCAGCTCCGTTTCTGTGCTGCCTGCACCTGCTACAAACCGGCCATCCTGCAAATAATTTTCGCTTACTTACTTACTTTTTAACACTCCAGCCATTTCCCACTCAGGTAGGGTGACCCAACAAGAAGACAACACTTCCACTGTCACTCATTCAATCACTGTCTTCCTAGAAGGGTGCCAACAGCAAAGTTCACATGACCCTTCAAACCACATCATCCCCACCCCTCCTTCAGTGTGCAGGCACTGTACTTACTGCCTCAAGGACTCTTTAAGTACACCTAACCAGTTTCCCCTGAATCCCTTCAAAAATGTTACCTTTCTCATATTCTGACATGTCAAATCATAAAAACAACTTGCCTCCACTCATTCTGAACACACAAAAGTCAGCTACATCTCCAAGCCCCTAGCACTCAAAATTTCCTTATCCCCTTCCCTCAACCTTTCCTAGGATGACCCTTTACCCCTCCTCTCTACCCCAATTTATATTCCCTCCTAATCATCCTATTTTTCTTTATCCTCTCCAAATCCCCAAACCACCCTGACAACCCCTCCTCAGTCCTCTGAATAATACATCTGATGACTTCACACCTATTAATCTTCAAACTCCAAATTCTTTGCATAATATTCACACCACACATTGCCCTCAAACACAACATTTCTATTGGCTCTAACCACCACCTCATTGCAAAATTTGAAATCCATCCTTAACACACTTACACAACAGTGTTAACACCACTATACTCAACTACATTCCTTTTTTTGCTAACAGACAAAATTCTGTCTTCACAGATGTCTCACTGCACCATCCACCTTTTTACCTTAGTCAATTTTGTGGTTCACCTAATCTATCATAGAATCATCTGCCAACAGGTCCACTCCCAAATTCCTTAATGCATTTACTTCCTCCACACTCCTTCCCCTCAATCTAACATCCAATCTCTCATTGCCTACATTTTTTGATACTCTTATCACCCTGCACTTTCCTACGCTTACTTTTAATTTCCTCCTTTTTCCTACCCTCCCAAATTCATTCACCAACCTTTGCAACTTCTACAAATCTCCCAAGAGAGCAGAGTCATCAGCAAAATCCAACTGTGACAACCCCCCACTCCACACCAGATTAAACATCTTTCAATCCCACATCTCCCCCTAACACCCCTAGTGTTCATTTCTTTTACAACCCTATCAATATGGTAAACAACCACGCTGATATCACACATCCCTGTCTAAGGCCTACTTTTATTGTAAAATAATCTCCCTCCCTCCTACATACCCTAACTTGCACAATGCTATTCACATCAAGGGTAATGCTTCAAGTAACCTATCACCTGTTGCATACATTTGCAACATTGCTCTATTAACTATTTTTTTTTTTTTTTAACAAATCGGCCGTCTCGCACCACAGTAGGGCAACCCAAAAAAGAAGAAACGCTTACCATCTTTCCTAAAGTCATAAATGCAATGAGAAGTTCATTACCTCTTTATTATAACAAAAAAAGGCACAATACTGTGACTGGAACGACACACAAATAACCCGCACACAAAAGAGAGGGGCTTACGACGACGTTTCGGCCCGACAGACCATTTACAAAGTCATGCTAATGAAAAGGAGAGGAGTATATATAAGCCAGGAGGTGGTAGCAGTAGTAGTGGAGGCAAAAGGTAGTAGTGGAGGTAGAAGGTAGTAGTGGAGGTAGAAGGTAGTAGTGGGGAAGGTGGAGCCAGTCAAATACTAAGAAAGAGGAGCACTGCAAGGGAGCTAGGGACCCAAAGAGGGTAGGAGCAAGAACACAGAGGGGAGGAGAAATAAATAATGAAGGAACAAATACTCAAGGTGGAAGAAAGAACCCAAAGGAGAAAGAGGAAAGGGGAAGAGGGAGGGATTCCTTTTTCTTCTTCTCTCTCTTCCCCTTCCCTCTTTCTCCTTTAGGCTGTCTTTCTTCTGCCTTGGATATTTGTTCCTTCATTATTTATTCCCACCCCCACCTCTGTGTTCTTGCTCCTACCCTCTGTGGGCCTCTAGCTCCCTTGCAGTGCTCCTCTTTCTTAGTATTTGACTGGCTACACCTCCACATCACTACCTTCCCCACTACTACCACTACCACCTCCTGGCCTATATATACTCCCTCCTCCTCTCCTTTTCGTTAGTTTGACTTTGTAAATGGTCCAAGTCGGACCAAAATGTCATCGTAAGCTCCTCTCTTCTCTGTGCGGGTTGTGTACCTCTTTTTTATCTAAGTATTATTTGACTGTGTGTGTCAACATAAACATTTCATCTACATATCCCTTACCCTTCTTAAACCCTCTTTGTTTCTCTACAATCCTACTGTTTTACCTATACTAATTCTTTCACTAATAACTGCCATACTCTTTACCCAATATAATCTAACAAAGTGGTCCTCAATCTTCCCATTCAAGTGGGCCACATTTGCTGGTCAAATATGTGATGAGGGCCACATAGTTTTCTTGACACTGCAGCGTGGAATCTACATAAAAGTGAATTCATAATTTCACATAAGGACTCGCATCCTTTTCCTAGAAGGGCCACATGCAGCCCGCGGGCCATAGGTTGGGGACCCTGTTCTAAGAGGTTTATTCTCCTATAGCTCTTACATTGTCTTTTATCCCCTTTTCTCTTATACAAAGGAGCTAAGCATCTTCTCTGCCAAACCCTTGGTACCTCTCCCCCTTTCATACATATCATGAACAAATACACCATTGACTCCAAAACTATATCCCCACCTGCTATTAACATTTGTATTAATCCCATCTACTCCAGCTTTTTCCCCTGTCATTCTACCAATTTCCTCACACACCTCAGAGTCGCATCTGATTCTTCCTCACTCAAAGCTGTTATACCTCCATGCACAATACAAGAAATCACTGCCTTCCTATCTTCATCAACATTCAACAATTAATCAAAATATTCCCTCCATCTTCCCAGTACCTTCACCTCCCCATCTAATGGCTCCTCTCTTTTGTTCTTAACTTAAATCCATTTGTACCTTAGATTTTCTCAGCTATTTATCTCACTCCAAAACTTTTATCCTTTCCTATTCCTCTCCAATTAATTCTCCTTTTACAATCCCACATCACTCTTAACCTCTGTATATCACTTCAACACTAAAAACTTTTCATGGCAACTTTCTTTCTTATCACCCTCTTTACCTCATCATTCAATAAATCACCCCTGTACCCACAAAATCATGCTGTACACTAACACTGCACTTGTAAATCAACTCCATATCTCCTCCACCCCCCTCCTCATTATCTGTACTTCTCTAACCCACCCTTCTCCCAATATCTCCTTATCCCCTCCTTTAATTTATAAACTTTCACTTCTCTCTTGCCTACCAGTGACATTTTCTTTTTGTACCCCAAGTGATTCTTATACTCACTATGGCTACAACTAAATATGTCACCCCCACTCAGCTTCGATGGAAAATATATATTCTTTTTTAACACACTGGCCACATCCCACCGAGGCAGGGTAGCCTAAAAAGAAAAAAGAAAGTTTTTCTGTTTAAATTTAGTAATTTATACAGAGGGGGTTACTAGGACCTTGCTCTCTACATTTTAGTCACCTCTTACAACACAAACACACACACACACACACTCGTACACAAACTCATACACAAACTCATACACACATGCGCACACACACACACACACACAAACAAACACAAAAACAAATACATGCACATACAGTAGTCTTTCCACCAACCTTATCTCTACTGACACATAGTCCAAGAAACTATCATCATGTCCAACATCATATCCTCTTCCTTAACCCTTAAATGGTCCAAACGTATATATACGTTCACGCGCGTAGCGCCCCAAACGTACATATACGTTTTCTTTGTCATTCATTCAACATTGCCACAATAAGCCTGAGTCACCTAGACATGAGAGAATGGGTGTGCGAACTCACTGTGTGCCATATTAAAATAATTGGGGATGCCTGGGCACAATATGCTCTTTTTTCCTTTTAAAAGAAAAGCTTTTTTTTTCCTCAAAAAATTTGGGGCGCTACACGAGTGAACGTATATATACGTTTGGACCGTTTAAGGGTTAAAGTACGTATTACCTATTATCAAACTACTTTCTATACATAGCTTAATTAGAGGCCTCCTATTATTATTTACCACTGGCACTCCAAACTTATCCATCACACCCTCTACAATAGTTTCTCCCACTTCAGCATTTAATCCTAAACATACATTAGCATCTATTTAATCTTGAATATTGAGTATATTATTAATAAATTCTCATTTCAATCTCAATTAAATCATAAGCCAGCAATAATATCCACAAATATATTTGAAACTTTTGGTGATATCTGTACTTTCAAGTGGTAAAGATAATAAAATTCTAATATAACAAACTTAGGCTTCTGGGGGAAGAGGAGAATGGGGCAGGGAGCGGGAAAGGAGGAGGATGGGGCAGGGAGTGGGGAGCAAGGAAGATGGGGAAGGAAGTTGGGAAGGAGGATAGGGTAGGAAGTTGGGAAGGAGGAGGATGGGCAGGAAGTTGGGAAGGAGGTTTGGGCAGGAATTTTGGAAGGAAAAGGGAAATGGGGTAGAGTGGGGGAGGAGGAGGATGGGGCAGGAAGTAGGGGAGGAGGAGGATGTGGCAGGAAGTAGGGGGGAGGAGGATGTGGCAGGGAGTGGGGAGGAAGGGATGGGTAGGAGTGGGGAGGAGGAAGGAATAGGGCAGGGAGTGGGGGAGGAGGAGGAGGGGGCGGGGAGTGGGGGAGGAGGAGGATGGGGCAGGGAGTGGGGAGGATGATGGGACGGGGATGGGGGAGGGGGAGGGGGAGGATGGGGGAGGAGGAGGAGGATGGGGCAGAGAGTGGGGGAGTAGGATGGAGCAGGGAGTAGGGGGGGAGAGAGGATGGGCAGGGGAGTGGGAGGGGAAAGGAGGGACAGGGAGGGGGAGAGGAGGATGGGGCAAGGAGTGGGGAATGAGGAGGATGGAGCTGGAATTTGGGGGAGGAGGAGGATGGGGTAGGAATGGGGGGAGGAAGGATAGGGCAGGAGTGGGAGAGGAGGATGGAGCAGGAAGTGGGGAAGGAGGAGGACAGGGCAGGGAGTGGGGAACAAGGAGGATGGGAAGGAAGTTGGGAAGGAGAATGGGGCAGGAAGTTGGGAAGGAGGAGGATGGGGCAGGGAGTTGGGGGAGGAGAAGGATGGGCAGGGAGTGGGGGAGGAGAAGGATGGGGCAGGGAGTGGGGGGGAGAAGGAGGGGGCAGGGAGTGGGGGAGGAGAAGGATGGGGCAGGGAGTGGGAGAGGAGGATGGGCAGGGAGTGGGAGAGGAGGATGGGCAGGGAGTGGGAGAGGAGGATGGGGCAGGAATTTTGGGGAAAAGGAGGAGGATGGGGCAGGGAGTGGGGGAGGAGGATGGGGCAGGAGTGGGGGAGGAGGATGGGGCGGGGGAGTGGGGAGGAGGATGGGCAGGGAGTGGGAGAGGAGGATGGGGCAGGAAGTAGGAAGGAGGAGGATGGGGCAGGGATGGGGGAGGAGGAGGAGGGGGCAGGAGTGGGGGAGGAGGAGGATGGGGCAGGAAAGTGGGGGAGGATGGGGCGGGAGTGGGGAGGAGGAGGATGGGGCAGGGAGTGGGGAGGAGGGGGAAAGGGGGCAGGGAGGGGGGAGGAGGAGGGGGCACAGTGGGGGAGGAGGAGGATGGAGCAGGGAGTGGGAGAGGAGGATGGGGCAGGAAGCAGGGAAGGAGGAGGATGGGGCAGGAGTGGGAATGAGGAGGATGGGGCAGGGAGTGGGAGAGGAAAGGATGGGGCAAGGAGTGGGGAAGAGAAGGATGGGGCAGGGAGTGGGAGAGGAGGATGGGGCAGGGAGAAAGGATGAGATGAGAGTGAGGAAGGAGGGGGATGGGGCAAGGAGTGAGGAAGGAGGATGGGAAAGGAGAAAGGGGAAGGGAGGATGGGAAAGGGAGTAAGGGAAGGAGGATTGGGCAGGGATGGGGGAGGATTGGGCAGGGTGAAAGGAAGAGAATGATGGGACAGGAAGCGAGAAAGAGAAGGAAGGGGGAGGGAGCAGGGAAGAGGAGGAAGATGCATGAAGTAAAGAAAGAAGGCAAGAGGTCAAAGGCAGATGCACAAGTAAGAAGCACAGAGATGGGGGAAGGTAATGGGAAAGAAGGCAGGGGTGGAGAAAAGGAGAGGGGAGCATAAAAAAAAAAAAAAAAAAAAAAAAAAAAAAAAAAAAGAGGCAGGAGGAAGGAGGGTAGAGTCATGGAAGGTAAGGGAAGATGCAAAACAATGATCATGTAACTGACATACAAGACAGAAATGAAGGTATAGAGAAGGACTAGGTTTACCATAATTAATATATTGACATGAAGAAATAGTAATAAAGAAAAAATGGTCAACAGTAGTTTTCTACTTACCCTACAAAGACCTTTAAAAGTATTGACAGCATCATCTACAGCTCGTTCTATGTCATCCATATAATTATCAGTAGATCCACGAATGACTATTGTAGCGATTCGTGACTCAGCACCCTTTTGCCTATTTGTGTAGAAATAATAGAATGACATGGTATCTACAGTTGTAATCTACATATTTTTCCAATACAGTATCAAAGTTATACTACTAAATATAAAAAAAGTTTCCTTAAGTACATTCCAGGTTGTTTGAACTATACTGAAGTCACTGCAAGTTCTTTAAAAACTAAATAGTGCAACAGTATCAATTCATAATGTATTCATAAAAATGCAACTGATGCAATTTGAAATACAGTACAGTGGACCCCCGAGTTTCGTCGGCATCGACTTTCGTGAAATCTGACATTCGGCAAGTTTTTTTCAGCAAAATTTAGCCTCGCGGTTCGTGACTGGACTCGTTATTCGGCGACCGTCCGGTACACGTCTGCCCGTCACCACGCGCACAAAGCCAGTCTCCCGCACCATTCACACTCAGTGTGCCATTGTTTACCAGCATGTGACCATCACGCCATGGGTTCATACATTTCATAATAATCCATTGTTTTTTGTGCTTGCAACTGTTAAATAAGTCACCATGGGCCCCAAGGAAAGCCAGTGCAAGCCCTTTGGTAAAGAAAGCGAGGAACACGATCGAATTCAAGAAGGAAATCATTGAAAAATATGAGAGCGGAGGTGCGTATTACAGAACTTGCCAGGATGTATGGCAAACCCCATTCAACCATCACTTCGATCGTGGCCAGGGGAAAGGAAATAAAGAGTGCTGTTGTTGCAAAAGGGGGTAGATATGCTGACAAAAAAGAGATCGCAAATCCTTGAAGAAGTGGAAAGGTTATTGTTGGTGTGGATTACCCAAAAACAGTTAGCAGGAGATAGTATTATGCAGTCGATAACATGTGAAAAGGCAAGGAAGTTCCAAGACGATCTCGTAAAGAAAATGCCTTCAACGAGTGGTGATGCTTGTGATTTTAAGGCCAGCAAAGGTTGGTTTGAGAGATTTAAGAAGCGTAGTGGTATTCACAGTGTGATAAGGAATGGTAAGGCTGCCAGTTCTGACAAAAAAGCAGCTGAGAAGTTTGTACAGGAGTTTAAGGAGTGCAGACACTGGAGAATTCAAACCCCAACAGGTGTTGAATTGTGACGAAACAGGCCTCTTTTGGAAGAAAATACCAAAGAGGACCTACATCACGCAGGAGGAAACGGCACTCCCAGGACAAGCCTATGAAGGATAGGCTTACTCTCGTTTTATAGTAATGCTAGTGGGGATTGCAAAGTGAAGCCTTTACTGGTGTATCACTCTGAAAATCCCAGTGTGTTCAAGAAAAACAGTGTCGCCAAGAGTAATTTGTGTGTGATGTGGAAGGCTAACAATAAGGCATAGGTCACAAGGGGAATTTTCCAAGACTGGTTTAATGAAGTGTTTGGCCCCAGTGTGAAGAAATACCTCCTGGAAAATAAATTGACACTCAAGTGCCTCCTGGTAATGGACAATACTCCTGCTCATCCTCCAGACTTGGAAGAGCAAATAGTAGAGGAGTTTAGTTTCATCATGGTGAAGTTCTTGCCCCCTAATACAACTCCTCTCATCCAGCCCATGGACCAGCAGGTTATTTCAAACTTCAAAAAACTGTACACCAAAGCAGTGTTTCAAAATTGCTTTGAAGTGAAATCAGACACTGAATTGACCCTAAGAGAGTTCTGGAAAGATCACTTCAATATCCTCACTTGCATAAACCTTATAGGTAAGGCTTGGGAAGGAGTGACTTGCAGAACTTTGAATTCCGCTTGGAGAAAATTGTGGCCATAATTTGTACGAGAGGGATTCTGAAGGGTTTGGGGCTGACCCTAAAGAGCCTATGCCAGTTGTGGAATCTATTGTGGCATTGGGGAAGTCCCTGGGGTTGGAGGTGAGTGGCAAGGATGTGGAAGAGCTGGTGAAGGACCACAGGGAAGAGCTAACCACTGAAGTGCTGCAAGAGTTTCATCTGCAACAGCAAGGGGTCACAGCTCAGGAAATTGCTGCAATGGAGGAGGAAGAGAGATGGAGGAAGGTGCCTTCTTCCAAGATTAAGGACATTTCTGCAAAGTGGACTGAAGTGCAAACATTTATGGAAGAACTTCACCCTGACAAAGCTGTTGCAGGCCGTATTGGCAACGTACAATGACAGTGTTGTGTCCCACTTCAGACAAATCTTAAAGAAACGCCAGAAACAGAGCTCTCTGGACAGATATTTTGTGCGACAGGGGTCCAGTGACACTCAAGTTGTTCCCAGTGTCTTTAAAAAACAAAGAAGGGAAGTAACCCCAGATAAGAACTTGGTACCTATACTCCTAATGGAAGAAGATTCTCCTTCCAAACAATAGTGTACACCTTTCTCCTATCCCCTCCTCCTGTCTTCCATCCACCCAAAAGTCTTCAGTAAAGGTAAGTGTAATGTTATTATTATTTTATATATGTATGTACTTAATTTCTCATTGTTTTCAGTATGTAAATCTATTTAATTTGAGAAAAAGAAGAAGAATATTTTATTTTAATATACAGTGGACCCCCGCTTAACGATCACCTCCCAATGCGACCAATTATGTAAGTGTATTTATGTAAGTACGTTTGTACGTGTATGTTTGGGGGTCTGAAATGGACTAATCTACTTCACAATATTCCTTATGGGAACAAATTCGGTCAGTACTGGCACCTGAACATACTTCTGAAATTAAAAAATATCATTAACCGGGGGTCCACTGTATTTGGGTGTCTGGAATGGATTAATTTTATTTCAGTTATTTCTTATGGGGAAAATGGTTTCACCAATCGGCAATTTCATCATTTGGCAGACACTCTGGAATGGGTTAATCGTGAAACTTGGGGGTCCACTGCAATTTGAAAGTTCGTGATTTTTTTGACCGAATGTTTACGTGTAATGTGGCACTGAACAAGATCTCATAGGATGGAATAATGTTGTTGATTCTATTTTGAAAGACAGAAGTTAAGATGATAATCTACTCATTTAAAAAACACAATTTTTGCCTAACCTATGTGAGAACACCAAGCAAGTATTTCTAGCTCTGAAATAAAATATATATCTACACAAGGAAAAGTGTCGGTGGGTTATTTATTAAAGAATTAGGGGTAAGACAAATTAGGATTGTGAATGACAAGGCGGCTTCAGACTGGGTAGGGAGTGCAATCAAGGCTTACATTGAAGTTTTATGTGAACAATATTTAGATAAAGGAAAGGAAGTTTACATTGCATTTAGGATTTAAAAAAGGCTATGAAGAGTGGATAGAGGAAAATTGGCAAATGTTGAAGTATATGAAAAGGTAAAAGTTACAAAATGCGTAAAGAGTTTAATAGTAATTTGGGCTCGGTTGGGGTGTTAAAGGGGGAGATTATTCCCAAAAAAAAAAAAAAGTGGTTTTAGAGATGTTTTTGTCACCAGGGTTTTTTTACCCCTTTGACTGCGAAACCCCAAAAATCCGAGGTGTCTCCTGGTGTCAAAAAAAAAAAGAAAAGAAAGAGAGAAAAAAAGAGAGAGAAAGAAAAAAGAAAGGAGAAAAGAGAGAAAAGAGAGAGAGAGAGAAGAGAGAGAGAGAGAGAGGAGAAAAGAGATAAAGAAAATGAGGAGAATGAGAAGAAGAGAGAGTATGAGAGAGATATGAGAGAGAGAATGGGAGAAGAAATGAGAGAGAGAGATTATGGAGAGAGAGAGATAGAGAGGATGAAGGGAGTATGAGAGAGTTGAGAGAGAGATAGGAGAGAGAGTAGGGGAAAGAGAAAATGAGAGAGAATGAAGAGTATGAAGAGAAGAAGAGAGAAGAGAGAGAGAGAGAGAGAGGAGAGAAAGAGTATGAGAGAGAGAGATAAAGAGAGAATGAGAAGAGAGGAAAATGAAGAGAGAGAGAATGAGAGAGAAAGGAAGAGAGAGAATAGAAGGAGAGAGAATGAGAGAGAGAGAATAAAAGTAAGGAGAGGGAGAGAGAGAAGAAAAAAAGGAGATGTGGGGGCCTTACTGTTATGAAAAGGCCAAAATTGTCAAAATCCCACACTTGGATCCATTTCGAGGACAGCGGAAACAAGCTTTTATCCCAACAAAAAGGGCAGAAAGCAGCAACTTACTCGGCTGTCCCCTTTCTCCGAACATCACTCCTCTAGATCAACATACCCGGGATGACCGATATGGAACACATTCGAAGCTAATGATGTCAAGAGATACGTCAGTTGATCAAATGAAAAGCTGGCCCACAATGGGCCCAAACTTCATCCTTTTTCCCTACTTTATGTCCATAACAATAAAAATGCTTTAAAATGAGCGATGTAGGTAACAGCTTTTAGCTTCCCAATAAATTTGGGAACCCTTAAACCCGTAAATAGTGTCAAAAAAGCTAGGGACCCTTTAAACCCTTTGTCAAACCCTTGTAAACAAAAAAAAAAAAAAAAAAAAAAAAAAAGAGAGTATGAGAGAAAATGAGAGAGAGGAAGAGAGAGTATAGAGAGAGTATGAGAGAGAGAAGAGGAGTATGAGGAGAAGAGTAGAAGAGAGGGGAGAGAGTATGAAGAGGAGAGAGAGATATAGGAAGAGAGAGAGTATGAGAGAGAGAGAGAATGAGAGAGAAGAAATGAGAGAGAGGAGAGGAGAGAGAGAGAGAGAGATAGAAAGAGAGAAGGTATGGAGGAGAGAGAGAGTAGAGAAAAAGAGAGTATGAGAGAGAGAAGAGAGATGAGAGAGAGGAGAGAAGAGAGAGAGGGAGAGAGGGGAAAAGAGAGAGAGAGAAAAGAAAGAGAGAGAGAGAGAAAGAGAAAAGAAAGAGAGAGAGAAAGAGAGAAGAAAGAGAAGAGAAAAGAAAGAGACAAAAGGAGGAAAGAGAGAGACAGGGAGAGAGAGAGAGACGAGAGAGAGAAGAGAGAGAGACGAGAGAGGACAGAGAGAGCAGAGAGAGAGACGAGAGAGACAGAGAGAGAGACAGAGAGAGAACAGAGAGGAAAGAGAGAGAGAAAGAGAGAAAGACAGAAGAGAGAGAGAGAGAAAAGAGAGAGAGAGAGACAGAGAGAGAGAGAGGACAAGAAGAGACAGAGAGACAGAGAGAGCGAACGAGAGAGAGGGGAGAGAGAGAGAGAGAGAGAGAGAGAGAGAGAGAGAGAGTGTGCTTTTTCCGATGTAATGACACCAAAGTACGAAATTTGAGGGAAAAACTTGCGGAATACGCTTTTTGCGGAGTGTGACCTAGCGTATTAAAGAATCGGGAATTTCCCCCCAAATTTTTAGCCCCATTTTCGGCTATTTCCATTGTTTTCCCTCGCAAACTATAACTATTTCTTTTTAAAATCCATTTTTTTCTATCAATTGAGTACAAGAAACTGCCCCTTTTCTGATTTCAATTCCCTATAAAATGGGCAGAAAATTTGGGAATTTGGCCAAAATTTTATGCAAATTAAAAAATTGCCAATTTCAAAAAAGGGTCCAGAAAAGAACAATGTAACTTCCGGCTCAAAAAAATTTTTCTTTTTTCTCAAGCCTTCCCCGGCCCCTTGATATTTTCTCTTTCTTTTTTTTTTTGAATTTTTAAACAAAAAAAAAATAGAAATTTAGTTATGCAACTACGCAAATTGTAAAAATTGTATAAAAAATGTCAACCCATTCATGACTGCATATTAAATGGTATTAGACATTTATTGGACAAAGACATCATTTTTTACTTTTGAACATCTGAAAAATCAAACTTTCCCCTACTGGGCTATTTCAATGTTCTTTTTATAGTAACACCAATCAAAAACAACTTATTTCTATATTTTTCATTCTATCAAATAACCAAGAAAATAAATAAAAATTGACGAAAATACACACAAAGTGGCATTTTAACTAAAACAGTTTGGGGTTTTTTTCTCATCATGCACTGGGTGCGCAGGGTTTTTTTTTTTATGGGGCCACTCTTTCCCGACCCTTCCTCACATGTGGGCCCCACCACTTTCTCCCGCTTGATTTGAAGCCCCCTAGAATTTATGGTATATAAGGTTTAAACAAGGTGGCTCATAAACTAAAACGACTGAAACAGTCAAGGGTTTTTATTTTAAAATGGGGGTTGTAAAAGAATGAAAGCTAGGGTGTTGGGGGGGAGGGGAGGATTTAATTTTGGAATCAAATACAAAATGGTAGTTCGACAGGTTTCTTTTTTTGATGATACTGGCTTATGGGGGGGTTTTTAAAAAAAAGTTGAAAAGGTTAGTTAAAGAATTTGGGGGTGTGTATAAAAGTAGACATTAAAGTGAAAAAATAGAAAAAAATAAGGTGATAGGGGAAACAAAGATTTAGATATAGAAAAAGGATACAATTGGAGAGAGGGGGGATAAAGAAGGAATTTTTTCAAAAATTTTAGAGTTTATGTGTCAGCGGGTGGATTTATGAAGAAAAGGATTTAGATAAAGGGAGGGAGTTTTTATTGCATTTATGGATTTAGAAAGGCTAGATGAGTGGGTAGAGGAGCCCTATGTGGCAGATGATGGAAAGGGGGGTAATTACAAATCTGTAAGGATTTTTTAAGGATAATGAGGGGTCAGGTTTGGGTGTGTAAAGAGAGGGAGACTAATTTTTCCCCGGGAAAAGTAGGGCGGACAGGGATGGTAATGTCACCATGGTTGTTTTTAAATATTTATAGATGGGTTTTAAAGAAGAAATCTAGGGGGGTTAAGTGAGGGGTGGACTAAATTTTGGGAATAAATACAAAAGAAATTTACACAGATACTTTGCTGATTACTGTACTTATGGGAATTCTAAAAAAAAAATTGCAAAAATAGTGGATGGTTTGGGGTGTGTGAAAGGTATAAAGTTAAAGTGAACATAAAAAGAGTAAGGTGAGAGTTATCAAATGATTTAGATAAGAAAAATTGGGTATAAATTGGGGGGGAGTAGGAATGAATGTTTTCAATATTTGGGAGTTGACTTCAAAGGGTGGATTTATAAAGGATGGGTAATCACTGAATTGTGACGGAAAAAAAGGGGAGTGGGCATTTAGGTATATGTGAAACAAAAAACATTATCTATGGAGGCAAAGAAGGGAATTTTTGAAGTATAGTAGTACCAACACTCTTATATGGTTGTAAGCTTGGGGTTTTGTAAATGCCACAGCGGGGAGGCGGTTGGAAGCAGTGGAGATGTCCTGTCTAAGGGCAATGTGTGGTGTGAATATTATGCAAAAAAATTCGGAGTGTGGAAATTAGGAGACGGTGTGGAGTTAAAAAAAGTATTAGCCAAAGGGCTGAAGGGGGGTTGAGGTGGTTTGGTCATTTAGAGAAAAGGGATCAAAGTAGAATGACATGGAGAGCATATAAATTTGTAGGGGGGAAGGGGGGGTAGGGGTCGTCCTCGAAAAGGTTGGAGGAGGGGTAAAGGAGGTTTTGTGGGCGAGGGGGTTGGACTTCCAGCAAGTGTGCATGAGCGTGTTAGATAGGAGTGAATGGAGACAAATGGTATTGGGGACCTGATGAGCTGTTGGAGTGTGACAGGGTAATATTTAAATGAGGGATTCAGGAAACCGGTTATTTTTATATAAACCGGACTTGAGTCCTAGAATGGAAGTACAATGCCTGCACTTTAAAGGAGGGGTTTGGGATATTGGCAGTTTGGAGGGATATGTTGTATATCTTTTTACGTATAAAGCTTCTAAACTGTTGTATTCTGAGCACCTCTGCAAAAACAGTGATTATGTGTGAGTGAGGTGAAAGTGTTGAATGATGAAAGTATTTTCTTTTTGGGGATTTTCTTTCTTTTTTTGGGTCACCCTGCCTTGGTGGGAGACAACAGACTTGTTGAAAAAAAAAAATTCACAAACACCTGAAACCATACACTGGATCCAGGTGTTTGTGAATTATGGTTTATCTCACACTGCTTAATCTCACCTGAAAATGGTTACTGGAGTGTCTCCAACCTCATCCAAGAAGACATGATCACAAAATCCAATTTCCTCTGGAGTTGGACAGGTTAGCTTGGGTAAGACAGTTGCACCAACTGTTTTGCAGAGGCGGCGCAAATCCCATTTGCTTGTTAGACGTACTGCCATAATGTTGTATTTATTGAGATAGTGAAGAGCAAGGTCACCTATTTTTCCACCAGCTACAACTACGGTCACTCCTGCTTCAGACAGAGCTTTCACCTATTATAATAAAACAAGGTACAGTTAAATAATTAGGTATTCATAAATTTCTTGCATACTGCATGAATATGCTAAATGCAAATTCTCCAAATGATGATGGAGAGAAAAAAAAAAAATCAGTAAATCTTTATAAGAAATACTACTTAGCAAAAGTAGAGGTTTTTTCTAACCTTAAGGCAATGGCATGCAGAAGACAGTATTTAGTGTATGTTCTCAGCTAAATACAGTGGACCCCCGACTTACGATAGCCTCAACTTACGATAAAACCAACTTATGATGATTGTCAGCGCAAAAATTTGACCCCGACCTACGTTGAAAAACTCGACTTACACCATTCATCCTGAACGCAGCCGTCTGGCCTGAGCACCTCAGATGAGCCAGTGTGACATTGTTTACAAGCCAGGGCGGACAGTTGCACGCATACATTCGATAAATTTTGTATTATTCCAGTGTTTTTAGTGCTTGTAACTGCTAAGCCACCATGGGCTTATCAAGAATACCGAGAAACAATTAACCCCAGAGGGTTAGCCCCCCAGGATAACCCAGAAAGTCGTGTCCGGGGACTGTCCAACTTATTCCACTGGGCCCTTTAAATCTTTCCCCCAGGATGCGACAAACACCAGTCGATTAACCCCCGGGTGAACGGAAAAAAAATCCTGAACATCTCAACTGGGAATTTAAGGGCCAGAAAAATTTTGGTTTGAGAGATTTAAAAATCAAGTGACATACCAGTTTGTGGGGGCCGTTCTGGAAGAAAAACCCAAAAACGGACCTGTATACTTACTCAGGAGGAAAAGGCACTCCGGGACAGTGTCTCATCACTCATCATACATCTTCAATAAAGGTTCATTTATTCTTCATTTGTACACTAAAAACATCACAATAATTTGTGAGCATCCTCTTTTTGTTGTAGGAAAATGTAATTTCAGCAGAAAAAAATTTTTTTTTCATACTTTTGAGTGTCTTGAATGGTTTAAATTTGATTTCCATTATTCTTACGGGGAAAAATTTAAATTTGACTTGCAAAAATTTTTCTCTTATGAGTCTCCAAAACAGATAATTCAAAATTTGGAGGTCCACGTACTGACTACCATTCCCTTTACTTATTTGGGTAACCAAGTAAGTGAAAAAGACCCAGTCACTTTTATTATTTTTTTTTATTACACACTGGCCAATTTCCCCCACTAAGGCAGGGGGGCCCAAAAAAAAAAACTTTCACCATCATTCACTCCTCACTTTTTTTTCCAGAAGGTGTTTAACACATTTTTTAAACTGCACATTAACACCCCTCCTTCAGATGCAGACACTGTCTTCCCATTCCGGACTCAAGTCCGGCCTCCCGGGTTTTTCCCTGATCCCTTTCTAAAGTTATTTTGCTCATACTCCAACCACATCAAGTTTTAAAAAACCCTTTTGTCCCCATTCACTCCTATAAAACACGCTCCGCACCCCCGGGGAAAAGTCCAACCCCTCACGCAAAAAACCTCCTTTCCCCCCTCCCCCCAACCTTTCCTAGCCGCCCCTACCCCCCCCCTTCCTTCCATACAGACTGATACACTCTTGAACACCTTTTCGCTCCTTCTCTTCATGTCTAAACCCCCCTCAAAAACCCCTTCCTCAGCCCCTGGAAAACTTTTTTGGCAATCCCGCCCCTCCTCCTGACTTCCAAACAACGAATTTTTGTTTTATTTTTCACACCACACTTTGCCCTCAGACAGACATCCCCCATGCCTCCAGCCTTCTCCTTGTGAAAATTCTCACCCATTTTCACCCCCTTTAAAGAGCGTTTGGAAAAAACTATACCTCAAACTTTCCCCCTCTTTGCCCCCAAAGGAAAAAAGTTCTTTGTCCCCACAGCCCCCTAAGTGACCGTCACCCTTTTTCCCTCATCAATTCTATGTTTTCACCTTATCTTTCATAGACCCATCCGCGACAGCCCACCCCCAAAATATCTGAATACTTCCCCTCTTCCATACTCTCTCCCCCCAATCGATATCCAAATCTTTCATCACCTAATTTTTTTTTGTTATCCTCATAACCTTTACTCTTTCCCTGTTTTCATTTTACTTTCACGTACTTTCCATGAAAAAGAAAATTGATTTTAAGTGGGTTTTTAAACCCCTTTAAATGTCCAAAAAATTTTACTTTCAATAGTAGGGTCAAAAGCAATTTTCAAATATAACAAAAAAAGAACAAAGTAGATCAAGCTTTTTTCTTTTTTTTTACAAGTTTTTTAAATTAAAAAAAAAAAAAAAAAAAAAAAAATTTCATTTTTTTTTACTTTCAATGTTAAAAAAAAAAAAATAGACACGTTTGGGCAGTTTAAGGGTTAAACCCTACTTGTTAGTCTCCATGGAAAATTAATCAAGTTTTGTACAAAAAAAATTGTGTTTTATAATTAGAAAGGGGAAATAAAACCAATGAAAAACCAGACAAACCAGCAGCGAGTAATCGTTTTAGAAAATACTGTAAGTCGAGAATGGGATGATACAACCCTAATGAGGTACTTACATCTTCCCCTTTTACTCTCTTCTCCTCGGGGAAAATTTTGCAAATCAGCAACTTTAAACAGAATGTTCCCCTTTGTCTCTGTGGTGGGGTTTCATCAAATGGGGAAGAATACGCAAGCTTTGCTTTCTCCTTGACGTAACTGACCCTTTAACCGTTCTCGAAACACCTACCCTGTTTGGGAAAAACGTATTTTGCTTTTACCAAATGGGCCTTTTTAATCACATGAAAAAGCTGAAGAAACCCCGAGAGCTTTTAAAACAATTAAGCTAATAAAGAAACGAAAAAATATCATTAAGTTTTAAACAAATTTTATTACTGGGAATCTCCATGTTTGAAAACATTCAAGACATTTTTCCTTTAAAAAAAAAAATATTTAGTTTTTGGGAAATTTAATTAGAATGACTAGTTCCAGCTTTTTTCTCAAATTATTATCTGTTTTGACCCCGGAACTACACTATAAAAATCAGACTTTTTCAAATTTAAAAAATTTTAATACAAGAACCTTTGGTTTTTGTATGCCCTAGTTTTTGTACAATTTTGGTTTCACAAGTTTTTTTGCTGAAATTTTTTCCTTTTTCGACATTTCTCGGTTTTTTTTTACAGTTGAAAAAGGTCCGTACCAAAATTTTCAACCCGCCCCCAAGACCTGCCACCATTTCCTGAATCAACCGCCCACACAAAGATCCGTCGTTCGTGATTTTGAAGGGGCTGAGGGTGACCCTGATGACCCTTTATTGTTTTTGGAATTATTGTGTTTTGGGGAATTTTATGGGGGTTGGGTATATGGCAGGGGTGGGGAAAATTGGGATGACCACGGGAAGCGTAACCATGAAGAGCGCAAGACCCTCAACTGGGAAAAGCACCAACTACGCGAAAATTGCTTTAATAGGAAAAGAAAAGGGGGAATGTGCCTTTTTCAGTGATTTAAAGGGTGCGCAAATAAATGATTGCAAAGTTTTGTGGAAAATATCACCCTAACAAGCTGTTTCAAGCTGTGTCTGCACCATTCAATGAAATGCTGTCTCATTTTTTACAAACTTAAAAAGAAAAACCCAAAAAGACCCCTCGGGCAATTTTTTTGTGTGAAAGGGGTCATGACTCTCAACTGGGCCCAGTGTGAGTAAAAGACAAAGAGATTTTAAAAAAAAAAGATTTAAAAACCTTTCCACCCCTTTAATAAAAAAATGTCACAATGCTATCACCAATCATTGCAAAACCCTTTTAAAAAATCCCCTGAATCCTCCAATTCCCTACAGTACTCAAAATAGCAAGGGTCCCCCGTCCACAAAGGAGGAACCAAAAAGAGTTGAATACTAACCTTTTTCCAACTTACACCCTCTCTCAAAAATCTTCGAAAAATTAAATTTATAAAAAAATCTACCCTACCTTATCCCCAAAACATACTCAACCCCTGCCAAATTTTGGGTTCAGGCCCAATAAAAAAACAAGAGCATATCACATGCAAAAAAATATATACACTGCAATAGAGAAAAAAAAGTCCCACTGGGGATCTTCATTGACTTACGTAAAGCTTTTGATACAGTTGACCATGACTTGCTCCACGTAAAATTGTCACACTATGGTATAAGAGGGCACTCCCTCAACTACCTCAAGTCATACCTCAGCAACAGAAGCCAATATGTGTACGCAAATGGGGCAAACTCTTCTGCGCAACCAATTACAGTTGGTGTCCCACAGGGAAGTGTCCTTGGCCCTCTTCTCTTTCTCCTATACATAAATGACCTTTCCAAATGCTTCGCAATTACTCAAACCCACACTATTTGCAGATGACACTACATACGTCTTCTCTCACCCGAGCCCAGTCACGCTAGCCAATTTCTGTAAATTACCGAATTACAGAAAATATCTACCTGGATGAGGACTAACAAACTTACACTAAACATTGACAAAACCTACTTCATTCAGTTTGGTAACAGAGCTACAGATGTCCCTCTTAACATAATGATAAACGGATCACCTATCACAAAACTAACAGAGGGAAAATTCTTAGGAATCCACCTTGATAATAGACTCAAATTTCATACACATATACAACAAATTTCTAAGAAAATTTCCAAGACTGTAGGCATACTATCGAAGATACAGTACTATGTTCCACAGTCAGCCCTCCTGGCCCTATATCACTCTCTTATTTACCCCTATCTCACCTATGGAATTTGTGCATGGGGCTCAACAACAATTAACCATCTCAGACCACTAATTACCCAACAAAAGGCTGCAGTTAGAATAAATTCTCACTACAGGCAGCACACTCCACCAATATTCAATACACTAAACCTACTCACCATACAAAACATCCATACTTATTACTGCACCTATTACATACATAGAACACTTAACTCTGATATTAACCCTCCCCTCAAACATCTCCTTGCCAACCTCAACAGAACACATGACCATAACACAAGGCACAGATCACTCTTTGATGTTCCTCGTGTCCATCTCACACTATGCAAAAACTCAATGCA